TAATCCAACATGGAGGACAGCTCACTGATTTATGATTATTTTGGTCAAAATATTTCGAAAACTATAAGAAACATTTTCACATAAGATATCAGAAAAAAATTTCTTGTCATAATCTTTTAATACAAAATATATAGAGAATAATACATGGGTGCGATTTACTTTGAGTGTTGAACATGAAATTATATCAAACTATCAAATTAATTTTTATCTGGTGTAGTAACTAATAAATTTTTTCTGTCATGCATGCAGGTAAAAACAATGGTAAGCTACCGATTCACAGTAAAAATTAAACATTTGATTATAACATGATACGATTGGTGGCCGTAATCTGAATTGTCATCACTACCATGATGTATATATATATATATATATATATATATATATATATATATATATATATATATATATATATATATATATATATATATATATATATATATACAGCTAATTCAATAAAGGTTGTCCTTTGAAACCTCAAACTCTAAAACCTTAAACCTTAAACTCTAAGCTTGCAAAGCATAATGGGAGCAAAATTTAAGCAGTTTAGAAGGCATATATGGAGCAGATTTTTTGGAGACATGATAAAAATCTCCCTGCAAAAACATTTCACTGACAAATAGCTTCAATAATCAACAATTAAGCTTGAAATCAGTGCTCCCATCATGCTTTGCGCACTTAGAGTTTAAGGTTTAAGGTTTTAAGGTTTAAGGTTTGCAAAGGACAACCTTTATTGAATTAGCTGTATATATATATATATATATATATATATATATATATATATATATATATATATGTACTATTTAAAGCACGCGTAGGAGTGTTTTATCACATATAAAACACGACGTGTAGCGGAGTGTTTTATATGTGATAAAACACGACTACAAGTGCTTTAAATGGCTTCAAAAACGACTCATCTTATACGAGTTCATTGGCGAAGTAATTTTTAAAATAAACTTTGTCTAAACCGAGAAAATCAAAGCTAAAGTTTATGTAAATTAACATGATTTTATATGATTTTGATTTTATATCACATATAAAACCACGACAGACTTATGATTTTTCTTTGTGTTTTGCTCCTGAATTATTAATGAGTTTTTTAAATATATATATATATATATATATATATATATATATATATATATATATATATATATATATATATATATATTAAGATGAAAATGTTCTAGAGTGTGTATTATATAATTTCCATACCCAGTGCAAGCAGAAAGATGTTGTCTGCCGCGGCTGCATGGGCCTTGAACCCTCGACCTTTCAAGTTTGTCTTCTTTTTATATAAACATATTTAATGACTTTAATGTTTACCCAAGAGCGTGGACGCTCATCGAGGGGCTCACACTACATTTAACAAATAATTAAATAATATACACAACAGGAGAAGACAAACATTACAAAGAAAGAGGAAAAAAATAACAAAAGTGATAAAAGCTGGTTCAATTGGAAGTTCAAAGTAATAAATTAATTCTTAGAAAAACGATTAGTTTGCTTAATTTAATATATTTTTGAACATTCATAAATATACATCTATTACTTTCTATACTCAAATCAGTTGAACCAGACAAAAATATTTTAGACTTTTGAGAATCGGACAAGAGATACCAGCTTTCACCATAAATTTGAGCAGCTACCGAGAGTAAGGATAATCTAAGAGCAGCATTACGAGGACAATATAACAAATAATGAATGACTGATTCACAAGAATCTCCACATAAACATGCTGGAGATAATGTACAATTAATTTTAAACAAATAATAATTTAAAGCATTACAATTAAGGCGCAAACGAGTGTGTAAGATAGAAGAATACCTATCAATAGAAAAATCATAGTAGCCAGTATAAGTTAATGAGCTGTTAAAAAACCCAATCGACTTTGAATTTCAATCAATAATATCAATGTTATTCCATAATATAATAGTTGAAGGAAAAAACGATTTTTTAAATCTTTCAGTTCTCACACCAAATGGAGAAAAGTCAGAAGCATTTCTTAAGGACAGACCCGACCTTTGTTGTACTGTTTGAGGCAGTAAATCCGACAAATAATTTGGTGTTAACTTATTTACAATTTTAAAATATAAAATAAGTTTATGAATGGATCGCCTTGTTTTCATATCTTCCCAAGCTAATTCCTCCAGTAACCGTACTCTACTAGTACCCTTCATAGCACCTACGACTACTGTTGCAGCTTGATATTGAACGTGCTCAATGAAATCGCTTTCATTTTCAGAGCAACCATCCCAAAGAACATCAGCATATTCCATCACTGGTCTAATAAGAGACTTGTACAATTTTGATAAAGTTTCTCTATCTAACTTAAACTTAAAACGTTTTAAAAGATTAAGTTTTTTTGAAGCTTTCTCATAAATATTGAGTATATGTGCCCTCCAAGAAAGATTTAAAGATAAGGTAACCCCTAAATGCTTATGATTACTAACAATTTCAATCGGCTCGTTTGCAAAGTATAACGTTGGATGTGCTTGTTTAAACATTTTAGCTGAAAATGTGACAGATTTGGTTTTACCTGGATTTATAGTAACATGCCAATCACGTGTCCATTCATTAATGCATTGCAAATCATTGTTAAGTCTTTCTGCAGAAATATCTATATCTTCAACTACTTCTAGAAGAGAAGTATCATCAGCATAAAGAAAATAGTCACATTGAAGATCCTGAGTAATATCATTTATATATATATATTAAAAAAAGTAATGGACCTAATACAGAACCTTGTGGAACACCAGCCTCGATTTCATTCCAATCAGATGACTGGCCATCAATTATAACCCTTTGTTTTCTTCCAAACAAATGACTTTTAATCATTTTAAAAGGGGGTCCTCTACACCAAGTAGCTCAAGCTTATAAACTAGGTTACCGACAGGGCAGTAATGCTGCCTTCAACAACAAAAGACAAACTACATGGTGTTGAACGAGTCCTTCAGAAACATCCTATTACTGTTATCTTTGCAGGTTAACCCATTTATTGACAGTACCCTACCACTGACTGTGTATTAAAAATCGTCTGGCGTTGGACAGGGTAAATACTAAAGTAGGGGTTATTACTGTGCTGATGGATTAACAAGAAACATTGGCAGCTAGGATTGTCAACCCATTTACTGGCAGTACCCTATACCACTGACGAGTAAAATCTTCTGGCGCTGGACAAGGGAAGGGCGCATTGCCAGCTAATGGGTTAAACCACCGTGGTTAAATATAAGATTTGATGCTCCAGGAAATGTAAACAAGCTATCAGTGTAACATCCAAGTTTATATATTTATATACTCGGAATATTGATTTCTCGGTATATACAAAATTATTTTAAAGTATAACAACCAGCGAAGAAGTAAGCCACTAGCTACCCTGCGCGGCTGCGCGCAGACTATATAATGACATATATATGTCATCCGTCCGGTCCGTCCGTCATTCATTCGTCCATCCGTATCCGCGTTTTATCCTACCCGTTTTTAAAACACAAAGTTTGCATAATTAAGGAGTGCGGTTCGTCATGATCAACATTTTCAAAAGCGGCCGATTAGACCAGGGGTTAAAGGTCAATGACAATGACATGCAAGTGACATTTAACATTGCGTCTCACTAATTAAAGTTTGCGTGTTTAATAATGTTTATCAAAGAAAGCAAAAATATATACAAGACAATCTCACATGTGGAATTTGTTCACTTACGTACTGCCTTGTGATGCAGTACAAGTATAAATACAAATGACAAAGCATTTGTAAATCCTAAAACATAATTAAATCATACGGCACATTCAAGATTTTATTAAATATCGTATTTCAGCCGCGTTTATACTGCTTGGCGCATTCGCTGCGTTATATTCATTTATATACACAGAAAAGCATCAAGCATGTCATTGTCCTTGCAGACCATAGGCAAAAGGCATTTGTCAACCACATACCAAATTTAATCGTTAAATCATAGACATGTCATGGAAAGAATATGGAAATAATGTTGAGTGAAAGCTAGCATCGCGTATAATGTTAAAAGCACCGCATATAGTGCTCGAACCACTGCGTATATTAATTGCAAAAGCAACGCGTATATAAATGGTGAAAGCACCGCGTATAATGCTGGAACCACCGCGTATAATGCGGGAACCACCGAGTACAGTGGCGAAAGCACCGTGTATAATGCCGAAAGCACCATGCACCGTATCATGCTAAAAGCACCCAACAAAATGCCGTTTCATCACCTTAAGCCAGCTATGGCTGTCCATAAAAGAAGATCAAAGATGAAAGATGATCACATTGTCTGTTTGCCTTAAGCCTGACCGCGCTGCACCACGGTTAAAATTCACTGGTACCGTCATGCAATGCATGCGCCAAATGGAAAATGTTGATTTCGACCCACAAAACAAAATTAGGATCTGCTGCCTTGCTCGCTGGCTTCAGGCTCGCTCGCTGCGGCAGCAATAAGTCCTCTATGCCAAACCTTGTCGAAGGCTTTACTGATATCCAAAAAGACCATACGAACTTCTTTACCTGATTCTAATGCTTCATATATATTTTATGAACAATTAAAATAAGTTGATTTACTGTTGAATCACCAGGGCGAAACCCGCTTTGAAAACGGTTCAAAAACTGAATTTCTTGTAGAAAACTATAGAGCCTATAGTAAAAACTATTTTTTCCATAATTTATCAATAGTGAAACTGGTCGATAATTCAATTGTGACTGGCGGTCATCTTTTTTAAAAATAGGTATTACATTTCCAACTTTCATTTAAGCGGAAAAATTCCTCTAGAAAGAGAGGAATTTTTAATATTAAAAGGAGCAAACTGATTTGGACTGGATCGCTCGAAACTCTGAAAGCGTTTGTCCTCACAGAGATTGACGAAGAAACTGCCGAAACAACTACATGGCGCTCGCCCAGTGGCGGTAAATGGCTATTTGACAGCAAGTTGTTATCAGTTACTTGGCTAACAAAAAGCCAGAATATTTATTTCGACGGTGAGAAGGGCAGTGACTTGATGGAACGAATACATTCATTTTTAAAGCAAGACCCGGACAATGCTTCAGAAATCGCTAATCCTGCTGAACTTGATCTAGAACGGTCGATTGAAAGTTTGCTAGCTGACGATTCTGACGATGTCACAGATGATACTTTTGAAGAATCGTTCAGTGATCAATGTGATATTGCAAAGGAATTGAAAAACCAAGAGGAAAAACAAGCCAGTATAGATTCCGAAACCAGTACAAAGCACGATGAATCGAACACGAAGTCAAAAAATTTGCATGAAGAGTCCATTGGTCTATATACGGTGACAAAGTCTGGCAATCTGCAAACAAAATCAACAAATAGGCATAATCCCTTGGGAAGTAGTGCCAGCTGTAATCGCGACTCCGCTGAGATTAGTCGACTGAATTCGAAACTTGACAGATTTTCTGAAAACGTGACAAACAAATTACAAAATCTCAGCGTCGAGATAAACAACATTAAAGAGAACAAACCCTACTCTATTTTGGTTTTAGAAAACGTAGTCAATGATCTAAAGGAAGATAAGCTTGTGCTAATTAGAAAGAACGACGAACTCAGGGAACAAAACATGGATATGTCTCATATTATATCTGATTTGAAAATGGCAAACAAAAATCTGGAAAGCGAAAAGAGCAGCCTGTTGACAGCTCTTAAATTAATACAAAATGACCACCAACAAACGTGCACGAAAACAATTGTGGAAAATGACGGCGAGAATAATGTGGAATTGGTTTGCGAAACAATAGAGGGAAGTGAAGTCACTCAACCAAAACCTTCATCCAATCAGCCCGCAAATGATAAGCATCTTAACACCGAAGCTAGTACTGGGAAAAATCGTAAAAAGAAGGGAACGAAATCTAAGTCCAAACCTCCAACACAAAATTCCAGCCAACAAACTGCGGATGTAGATACTTCTGGTGGTATTGTGAACACCTCTAGTTCTAAATCAACGGGGCAAGGCAAGAAAACAGTTGTTATTGCAGGGGACTCAATTGTTAAAAATACTATTGGTCCGAAAATGAGTGCTGACGATCCTAATCACCATTTTATTGTAAAGCCGTTCCCTGGAGCAACAGTCTCAGATATGGAGGATTTTGTCAAGCCATTGACAAGAAGGACACCGGACAAGATGATCTTACACGTCGGAACAAATGACCTGAGAAGTCATTCTACGCCGAAAATAATAGCAGACTCCATTGTCAACATTGTAACACAAATAAAAGAAGATTCACCAGGTACAGCCGTTGGCATTTCAGCTATTCTGGTAAGAAATGACAATAATGACCTAGCTGCTAAAGCTATTCAAACTAATAATATTCTTAAAAGCTATTGTAGTCGCAATAGAATCCCCTTTTTAAGTAATTCAAATATGAATGCAAGTCTCTTAAATATGAGGGTCTTCATTTAAATAGACAAGGTAGTTTAGCTTTACAACAAAACTTACTAGGTTTTGCAAAAACTATTTCAGATTGACTTTATCCTACTCAGTCCGTTATTCCTACCTCGCGCGGGTTTAAGCTCGCGGCACTTAATGTGAGAAACCTAGTAAATCATATTGATGAGCTGCGAGTTTTGCTTGCTACTAGCCCAATCGATGTCCTAACAATAAATGAGACATGGCTTAATTCTACAATAAGCGATAACGATGTATATATACCTGGATACGAAATCATACGTCGTGACAGGGCATTTAGAAGTGCAGATGGAAAAACGTATGGAGGTGTTTGTTTTTATGTACGCTCCAGCGTAAATTTCTTACAGCGTAAAGACATGTCTATTGATAATTTAGAAAATCTATGTATTCAAATTCAAAAACCAAATTCTAAGCCATTTCTCGTTGCGACATGGTACAGGCCACCAAATTCGAATGTTGATAAATTTAATTATTTTGAGACATTTATTGACATGCTTGATGCTGAAAATATCGAGTACTATTTATTGGATGACCTAAATTGTGATCTCGGGTCGCCTGATTTAGAGAGTAATTCGAGATCATTAATAGGCATCACTGAGCTCTATGGTTTACATCAATTGATAAGTGAACCGACTCGAATTACTGAAACTTCCTCAACTATGATTGATCATATATTCACCAATACACCAGATAAAATTGTTTGCTCCGGTGTTTCTCATGTCGGTATTAGTGATCACAGCTTAATTTATGCATTCCGTAAGCTTTCAACCGGTCCACACAATAAAGGCCATTCTACAGTAAATTATCGAAAATTTAAAAATTTTAACTCTGAAAGTTTTCGAAGTGATATTTTTTCACAGAATTGGGACGTCATAAGGGCGTATAATAATCCGAATGATATGTGGCGTGTGTGGAAAACGACCTTTAATAACGTAGTGGAAATGCATGCTCCTTTACGGACAAGGTGGGTAAGACTTTCTAAGTCGCCCTGGATCACGCCTGAGTTAAAAAGACATATGCATGAAAGAGATATTTTAAAAATCAAGGCTATTCGATCTAAAGATATTTATGACTGGGCTGCTTTTAAGAAAGCTCGCAACTCTGTGAACAATGAAATTAAATTTGCGAAGAAAGCCCATTATATGAATGCTTTTCATGAAAACGAGAGTAATGTGAAAAAAACTTGGGGTATTATTAATGATTAACCTCAAGAAAACAAAATAATTCACATGTAAAAGAGATTAAACTAAATGGTTCTTCAGTTAGTGACCCCCCAGGGTTATCAGAGACGTTTAACACTCATTTTGCTAGCATTGGACCTAAGCTTATAGAGAAGATACCTTGTGATGAAAATAGTTTGAGTTTGATAGTTTGATAGTTTATTTGACACTAAAACTTACAGCTCCAGAATATAACTAATTCCACTGCTGAAATATGTTAGGTTTACAAGGATATTAAAACTAATTTTACATGTATTTGTTTAAGAAAACGAATAAGATTAGACTAAATACTTAAAAATACACATTCACATATATATACTGTATGCGCAGACTTATAATTTGTTACTAAAACACTCACTAATGCTAATTTAGATTAGGTTAAAAACCAGCATATTCGCGGTAAAAACAGTTTCTAAGTTATTCAAAAAACTTATTAGAGTTATAAGTGATAAAACTGTTCCTAAATCTGTTCGTTTTATGAAGTGGCACGTTAAATTTCCTATTTTTACGCAAAAAATGACTATTGTCATTATTTAATGGCGGTAACAAATCCGTTAATTTGTGCTCAGGATTATTGACTACGTCCTTAAAAAGTTTTGTTGTTAATTCCTGTCTTCTATCGTACAGTGAGGGGGTGTTCGTGTTCCTCAATGCTTGTTTGTAGTGTTGATCTGGGAATATTATTCGAAAAGCTCGTTTCTGAAGTCTTTCAAGATCATCAGACAGGTATTTGGGTAATGAGTCGTGAAATGCTTGGCACGCATACTCGATGACTGGTCGAATACAGGTGGAGTAGAAAAGGATTAGGTCGTTAGCTGGTAATTTCGCTCGTTTTAGTTGTCTTAAAAAATATAGACGAGGTGCGACCTTTTTACAATAACTGCTCATATTTAGAATATCTCAATTGCCATATTAGTGGTAATACTTTTGAGTTGAAGTCGACAACTTCATCAATGGTTTGTTCACTTTTGGACAAACTCTGTAAATCTAAAGCAACTGGCCTAGATAAAATATCTGCTAAGCTTCTTCGCTACTGTCCTGACCTACTGTCGGAATCCCTTACCGTAATTTTCAATTGCTCTATTAATACCGGTATCTTTCCTGATGAATGGAAATGCTCAAAAGTCATTCCATTATTTAAACACGGTGAGCGTAAGGACTTGAATAATTATCGCCCAATTTCGATAATCCCTGTTGTAGCGAAGGTTTTCGAGCGAATTATTTATGATCAAATCTATGCCTTTCTTACTGACAACAATTTACTATGTAATAGCCAGTCAGGGTTTCGATGTCTACATTCAACTGTCACCGCGCTTCTTGAGTCCACCAATAACTGGGCATACAACATTGACCAAGGCCAAGTTAATGCTGTAGTTTTCCTAGATCTTAAGAAAGCGTTTGACACAGTTAACCATGGAATTTTACTATCAAAACTGAATGCGTATGGTCTTGGGGGTGCTGTGGGTAATTGGTTTAAGTCTTATCTAAGTGACCGCAGTCAAAAATGCTATGTTAATGGTCACCTTTCTAAAGGCCTGATTCCACGGGCGCTTTTTCTCGGCGAAATGCGAAATATTTCGCCTGTTTCTTTTGAATTGTGATCAATCAAGTAGAAATAATTTATTCGAGTAGTCGCAATTCAAAAGAAACAGGCGAAATATTTCGCATTTCGCCGAGAAAAAGCGCTCGTGGAATCGGCCTTAACAATCGTACGTTACTCTGTGGTATTCCACAGGGAACTATTTTAGGACCATTGTTATTTTTACTGTATATAAATGACTTACCAAATTGCCTTGAGCACTCCCAAGCACGAATGTACGCGAATGATACTAATTTAACATTTGCAAGTAACAATATTGACGACATAAATTATCACCTTAATCATGACCTTGCAAATGTGAACAAATGGCTTATCGCCAATAAGCTTACTCTAAATCAATCCAAAACTGAATTTATGCTAATTGGCTCACGACAAAGAATAGCCACATTTCGATCAGTTCCATGTTTAGAAATAGACGGGGTTCCTATTGACAAGGTTTTACAAGCAAAGTCTCTCGGAGTGTACCTTGATGAGAATCTATCTTGGAATATACAAATTAATGAATTAACAAAAAAGATTGCTTCTGGTATTGGCGCTTTAAAACGTGTTCGATCATTTGTCCCAGTCGCAACATTGCAATTAATTTTTAATTCCTTGGTTCAGCCATATTTCAATTACTGTTGCACAGTTTGGGACAATTGCAACAAAACCCTCGCTGAAAAACTTCAAAAACTACAAAATCGTGCAGCGAGAGTACTAACATTCTCCAGTTATGACACTAATGCTGATGGTTTAATTGAGAAACTTGGCTGGAAAAAATTAGCATCCCAGCGCCAGTTTCAAAAAGCTGTCATGGTCTATAAATCATTAAATGGTCTTGCTCCTGATTACATGCATTCCATGTTTGTAAACCGTGACAGTGTTAATCCTTATTCGCTGAGAAACACTGAGAACAAACTAGCTGTTCCCAAGCCCCGCACAAATTATCTCAAGAATAGCTTTAGCTATAGTGGTGCGGTGCTGTGGAACAGTCTTCCAATTGGGCTACGGCAAGCAAATAACTTGATAAATTTCCGATCGGGCTGTGCCAAATTATTTTAACTTTCCTTGTATATATTGTTATATTAGCTTAGTACACGGCCCTCATGAAAAGCAGGTATTATATTTTCTATTTACTTTAGCGTGGTTCTACTTTTGTAATTTATCTAATTTAGTTTGTTGCATGTTAAATCCTGATGAGAATACCGTGTGTAAATAAAGTTTTAATAATAAATAATAATAATAATAATATTTTTTTTTTTTTTTTTTAATAAAGTATTTATAAACCTAGAAAAAGAGTTGGCAATACCATTTGCACTGGCTTTAATTAAAAAATTACCCACACCATCAACACCACAAGCTTTAGAAACATCAACACTATTAAGTAAAATTTTTACCTCCTGTTCGCATGTGGAAATATCTGACAACTTTCTTGTATTTTGAAAAGTAATTAAATTAGGTAGCGGAGAATCAGTATTTTCCAATCTACACTGTGTGCTAAAATATTCATTAAAAATTTCAGCTTTCTCTCTTGCGTCAATTATTAAGCGATCATTTTCAATTAATGTAGGGATTCCAGATTGCTGCTCTATACATTATCAAACTAGGCTCCATTGGGATTAAATACCAATATAAACTTACCTCGGGCTGCTCAATAGTTAAACAATTAGATACAAGAAGAATAAACACAATAAAGAACAAAGTAATAGAAAAAGCACTCATATAACTAACAAAGTATAATTAAATTGAGTAAAAGGTAAAGGAAGGGGATTATCGATCATGAATATGTACTCAAATCCTCTTTTCGCTTAATAATAGAAATTGTACCATCATATTTTCTCTTAAAGATATGACCATCAGAGGTATAGACCGAAGCTGTATCACGGCACTTTTCTTTCGCATACATCAACAATTGCTGGTTCATTCTTGTTAAATCTTCATTCACATACAAAGATTTCCCCCGCAGCCTTAGCCTGCTCACAGACGTTGTAGTTCTTACGCCAAGCGACGAAATACTACCGTCTGCTTACCCGAGCGCCAAACTGAATTCCGCTACGTCGACCAATCAGAATTTACCTTCCAAATTCTGGAAAGTGACGTCAGTTGATTTAGGAGCGGAATAAATATAAATATATATTTTGAAAGCAGTCGTCGGTTGAATTTTGGTCAAAATTGCACATAAATTGAATTTAAAGATACTGATACTTGTCCAGGTAATAAAATGCACCATTAATGATCAGATTTGGATATTAAAGATGTTCGGTTTAATATATTTAAAACGCGGACAGGATTGGCATATTTATACTGTATGAATCTTAGCCAGACGGCATCAAATGCCGAATATATTTCGCTGAAATTTGAACGGTTTATCTTTATAAGACAACAGAACTCGGAAGACAGAAAATTTTATATAATACTGTGGCTTAGAAAGCGAAATATTAGCTTCAAAGTAAACTAATTTGCTGTCTGAGCAACCACTTCTGAATGTAAACTGTAAACACAACACAAACCCGAGAAACTTGTATTAAAATTGCGCCGTGATGAATTTTCCAATTCGCCCAAACTTCGAAACGTTTAATATACTCTAACTTGGCTATACTTTTCTACATGACAATGAGAACTTAATCTTTTAGAAGTTTTCGTCGAAGTCATGGCATATAGGAAGTATCAAGAGCAACATTTGGACATATCCTGGTTCCCGATTGATTGTTTGTCATTGTTATAAACAAAAATTTAAATTTCGCCTACTGCATTGCTTTAGCACTTTATATACACCGATTGTTTGTTGAACATGCGAGAAGATGATAACAATATTATTCTACGTAAACATCGTGAAGTTCAACGCTATAGTTTCCAAAATATATCCACGCAAGTAAACAAATTTCAAGTTTCAACCCAAACAATATATTCCAATGCATGTGCAAGGGCTTTTCCCAGTAGCTAATCTCTCAATATATAAGGCGGCTTCCAATTGGCTCTAATGTTTTTGAACACTGCCAGATGATTGGCTCGGCTAAAACAAAGGGAATTGAATATGCAGCTCGGGTAAGCAGACGGTAGTATTTCGTCGCTTGGCGTAAGAACTACAACGTCTGTGAGCAGGCTACCGCAGCCTACGCTTGTTTTTTTAATATTGATAGCTTGCTGTGAAAGCTAATGTAAGCTTGATAATAATAGCACGAGGACGGCCATCGTCGTGCTGGGGTTTACCAATTCGGTGAGCACGATCAATTTCACTTCGCTCGATTGCCACTCCCAACTCGCGATCACAAAATTTCACAACTTCATCGTAGCAGTCCTCCGTTTCTTTCTCGGTAATACCACAGAAACGTAGATTGTTTCGGCGAGAATACTGCTCATTTCCATTCGCTTTAGCATCGACTTCACCCAACTTTCGATGCAGCTCTGTCACTTCACGTTTTAAGCGAGTATTCGTGTCCTCGAGCGCTTTCATTCTAACATCAGAGATCTGGTCTCCGTATCAGTCGTTTAACAGAATTAGCTTGGAAAAACTACAAAGACACGCCACGAGATGGATCCTCCAAGTGAAGAAAGATGACATTACATACAAAGATCGATTGCTGGCCCTCAACCTACTACCGTTAACATACGATAGAGAGATAAAGGATTTAACGTTTTTCTTCAAGTTATTGCATGGATATTACGACTTAAATGTTTCTGATTATGTGTCATTTGTTAGCCATTGTCGTACTCATAATTGTGAAAATCCTTCTCTTATGCTTAAAGTTCCGTCGTGTAAAACAAGTACTTTTCAGTCGTCCTTCTTTAATCGTATCGTCCCTCTTTGGAACTGTGTGTGTAAAGCAGCCTCGCCTGCAGACCTTCGTAGTTTAATTATGTTTAAATCGTTTTTGTCAAGAACGTACTTACATTTAATTACTACTATTTTTGATGTAGATATTTTTTTAAATTTTTTTTTTTAAATTTTTTTAACAGCTTTATTGGGAACTTAATATTACATTAATAAGGTACAAATACAACAAGGATGCAGTTCCTAAACGGGAAAATAGCGAACGGGCCATAATAGCCCATGCGAGGCTACCTCCCGATTTGACTTCTGTCGACATTTACAAATTTACAAAAAATTAAAAATTTAAAATCGTTGAAAGCACGTTTACACACATTCAGGCCAAAGTGATAGGACCTATGTTAAAATAAATCTTAACAAATAAATAAATAAATCAAAATAAATAAAAAAAATAAATAATAAAAATAAAAATAATAATAATAATAATAAATAAATATAATAATAATAATAATAATTTTTAAACAACAGAAATCTTTATTAATAACATGATAATTTATACAAATATATCACATAATTAGACTTTCAATTAAAACAGGAAAATAGAGAAACAGTTCACTATATTAGACAGATAGGTCCATTCTCTACACTTTGTATCAATAGTAGCTAATAAAAATTCAGTAAGTCTGGGTTATTCCACGGCTTGTTTCTTCTGCAGTAAATGTAGAATGTTGCTCTCAGAGCTACCTCCATACATTTTTTAATAATACGTTCGTCGTTCATTTCAAGTGTTCGTAATAATCTACGAAATCTGTCAATATCTTTCGACACAAACCCTAGAGTGGTTACTTCAAGTGTAATAACTTCAAACGCATAACGCGCCGTGATCAGCTCAGATCTTAGATGTCTGTATCTTTCTTTCTTGCGACTTTTAGCCTTCGTACAATTGGTTTCGTAGGGAACAGTTAATTTAACCACATATACAGAACCCTTAAGATCCACCACTATATCAGGTCTTAGCGTTCGAAATAAAGTTGAAGTACAGGTCGTACCTGAATTAGGACAGTCCGCAAACAGTCGAAGATCTGCACCAACTGCGACTTTTAAGTGATGAATAATAGTCATCAGAATCGAGTCATGCCGCCAAGTATAGCGTTGTTGTTCTAGGGCTACCTTGCAGTTGGAAAAAACGTGTAGCTGGGTTTGTAACTTGTTGAACAGCTCACAGTTGGCGGAGTCCCGAATGTTCCAGCGCTTTAGGTTAGAATTATTTCCTAAACTTAAAATTAACGCTCTCCTAGGAAAGCATACTATATTGCTGGGCATTCGAGTGACAATTTCGTGCCATACTTTAATCATCTTCTTATAGCAAGTATCAGTTAAGCAGGTAATGATCACGGATTGTTCTTCTAGTTCTACAAAGTTTGACCAAATTTCGTTAAGGTTTTTCTTTACCAGAATCTTCTTTGCAGCGTTTCTTAACATATATTGTTCAGAGATACTAGCAGCCGCCCGTTCAATAATATCATCAGTGACGATGTTTTTTGATGACGTTTTGGTATATAGCTGTTGAATATCGGAGTTGACAGAAGTCCTCAAGATTCTGCGCACTGTCAGTTTACGTTGATTATATATGTCAGAGGGGGGACAGAAATCAATTCCCAGTTGTAATTTAGGAAGCTTTAGATGACTAATGTTACCGCTGATTGGGATCTGGAGCCATCTGGAGCTGGATAATAATAATAATAATAATAATAATAATAATAATAATAATAATAATAATAATAATAATAATAATAATAATAATAATAATAATAATAATAATGGAAACTTTATTTTGACATTTTATGTGTATACAATTATAAATCTTACTAATTAAGGTAATTTATAATTGACTACTATTGACTATTATTGATAATACTATAGTACACGTATAAAACTAAGAGAAAGCTCATTCTTAAATATTCATCAAGTCCGGATCCGTCCAATCCTTGTTTCTACAACAAAATATATAGTACGTTGTATGGACAGTATTTTCTTAACACAAACGTTCTGATGTTTTTTATCAAGACCAACTTCGTTCAACATTTTCATAAACGTGCTACATTCTTTTGAGAAAACACCTAAGGCACTAATAGACAAATTAATAAATTTGACAGTTTTGAAATGGTCTTTCTCCTGCGTAATTAGATGCTTGTATCTTTCCCTTTTGCGATCGACGTTGTTTTGGAGATTGGATTCATATCCGACAGAGAGTTCGAGTATGTACAGACAATCATTTGAAATCGAAAGAAGCAGATCTGGGCGATAAGTGTTACCGGTTATTATGGATGGGCTCTTGTATCCAGGAAGATCAACAAATAGCGTGGAGTTGTGTTCAGGTTGGAATATTTTTGCGACAAAATTGAGAATGGAGTCATGTCTCTAAGTAAATCGTGGAAGGTATGACTGGCATCCCGCAACTACATGCAGAAGGGATTCAGGGTTCAGGCAGA